CCCCCCCCTCTTGGACACCCCCCTCTTTGCCGCTCCCGATATCGGGAAGCCGCGATCGTTCAAGGCTGGACGATCCACGGGGCGTCAGAGCTCCGAATCATCAGGGCCGGGGGGCAGTCAGGGGTAGCTACGGAGTCGCGCCCCAGACCCGAGCTACCCCAGACCGCAGTTGCCCATCCCAGTTAGCTCGGGCGTCCAACACTCCCAGATCATCCGGGCTGGGGGGCAGTCAGGGGTAGCCACAGGCTCGCGCCTCGGGGGCCCAAAACGGAGTTGCCCCGGACCGCAGTTGTCCTGGATAACTTCACCTAGTCATTCAGACCCCCCCCCTTAGGCGAACGGGTAAAACTTCCCGCGCCAGGCAGCGTTATCCCAGCACCCGAATGTCAAGGTCCTTGCGTTCTTGCCGCAAGTCCTTATCATAAGTGTCGGTTGCGGGGGGAGTTTTTTGCTTTTGTTTTGTTTTGCTGTCTGGCGCGGTGCTAAAGTTGTCGTTCGGCTAAAATCCCCCCTCGGGAGTTCATTCAGATCGGTGCAGTGCTATGGATAACACCGGGGGGGTTCTTCATGCCCAGGTGTGGTGTTATTTCGGTCGTCGAAGAGACCAGCGCCGACGCCATCGCTGCGCGAACCTGCCGCAGCGGGGTCGATGCCTTGTTGTCCTCCCCGAGGCTGGCCGAGCGCGGGCGCGCCCTCGACGCGAGGCGCGCCGACCCGTGGCCTGGCCTCGGCGGCGGCCACGGGCCCGCCGCCGGGGGCCTCGTGCGCCTCTGCGTGGGCGGCGCCGCCTTCCGCGCGGACGCCGGCGCCCTCCGCGCCGCTTCCGCCTGGTCCGCCGCCACGGAAGTATATCTGGCCACGCGCAGAGGGGTGTGTGGTCTAGGCCTCCTCGATGGGGTCGGAGTAGATGGCGTGGTGGATCGCGCCGCACCGCCGATGCATCGACGATGCGGCTCGATGTGGAGATTGATTTTGTCCACGCCGACGTCGTTGATGCATCGCCCACGTCGACGATGCATCGCCGATGCATCGCCGATGCATCGCCGATGCATCGCCGATGCATCGCCGATACATCGCCGATGTATCGCCGATGCGGCGCGATCCTCCGACCCCATCCACTCCGACCCCATCTAGGAGGCCTCCAGTATGGGGGGCGGGGGGGAGGCTCCCTAGAAGCACACCTGCTTCATACCGTGGTTTTCCCAAAAACGCCCCTCTCGAAACTGCGTGCGGAAAAGCGGGTCCAACCTCCCCGGCCCCGATTGCAAAGTTCGGGGCGGCCGACGCGGGGGAGTGCGAGTCGTTTCGGGGGAAACGCCCACGTTTGCAAACCGCGGCCTGCTCCCCTAGACGAACATTGACATCGGGGGCTGCGGCGGGCGCTCTTGCGCCATCTTCGAGGCGTTGTCCTCGGGCGTTTTTTTTCGAAAGCGCTGGTGGAGGGCGTAGGCCTTGCCTACAAGCGTGAGGCCGGCGCCCTCTGAGCAGCGGCCTCCTTCCAAGAGGCCTCCCACCCTCCCCCTGCCCCCTTGTGCGCGCCGCCAATCTGTACACATGCGCCCTCCAATGGACTGTTCCTGGGCCTCATGGGGGGGGTGGCGGCGTGTGAGTCACCACTGGGGGCCCGCGACTTTACACACCGCCGCTCTCCCTACATGTACATGCCAAATTCGTCGGAGGGTGTCTGTGTATGTATTTTCGTGGCGCAGGTTCGCCGCCCTGCTCAGCGCTTGGAGCAGGCTGGGGGTCTGAGGTGGCCTTTCAGTTTGCTTTCTCTGGGGGCCGTCTTCGGGCCCCGGGACCGTCACCAGATGGATCCCGGAAGGGGTCCGGCATCCATTCTCGAACGCATTTGCCTCCATCCCCGCCTTCCTGGCTGATCTCCCCGGGGCCCAGGCCAGCTTGGGCCCTCTGGCTGCCTCCGGCTCCGCGGGCGCTTCCCCGTGCCGCGCGGGCCCCTGGGCGAGGTCTTCGTGGACCGGGACGGGGCCCACTTCCAGGTGATCCTGGACTACGTCCAGCTCGGCCCAGCAGGCGCCCACTCGTGGCTCCGCAGCCTGGACGCTCGGGCGCGCAGGGCGGCCCTCGAGGAGGCCGCGCACTACGGGCTGGAGGGGCTGGCGGGCCAGCTGGCCGTCCCCGCGGTGGGCACGCCTGCCGCCGCCCGCCTCCCGTCGCAGGCGCTCGCCGCAGCTGGCGTCCGCGGAGCACTGCGCCACGACGTGTGCGGCCAGTGGCACGCGCCTGGTGCGTGTGCTGCGCGGTCTGCGGCGTGCGAGGCCGTCGGCACCGCCGTCGCAGCCTGCCTCGTGCGGGGCTACCGCCACCGCGCGCCGGCGAGGGTGCGCGGCACGGCAGCGGGGCCCGCAGGCGTGCCGGCCTGCGCTGGAGGTGGCGACCCGGCTGGTCCTCTCCATGGGATCGGTGCGTGGGGGAGGGCGCCGGCGCCGAGGTGGGAGCTCGCGTGCGAGGGACGGGTGTTCGTCGTGTCCAGCGCGCAGATTCTGCCAGAGGCGGAGGCGGGCGAGCTTGCGGCGGGCCAGTCCATGCCGTCGAGCTGACCCGCGCCAGCGCGCCGCGCACCAGGTGGGTCCTGCCGAGGTGAGGCGCGACTGCCGCCCACTCAATTCATCCCCCTCGTCATCCCCCCGCCCCCACGCGCCCCCACCTTCCCTCCGCCCGCCGTTGAATCCCCTCAGTCTCTCGCGCCAGCAGCTTGCCGGGCGGGCCGTGCACGACAGACCACGCGCACATGGGGCTGGGGCCGCATGCGCCAACATTGTGGTTGACACCTCGCAAAAAAAACACATGGGGCTGGGGTTAAGTCGGGCATGTTCCTCTACAGGAGGATCTTCAAAATCGTTAAAGCATAGTCTGTAACGATTCTTCGACTGTTTTTGACGGGCGACCCAGAATCGCTAGATGTGGAACGATTTGGACTTTTCGGAAACGGCCGATCGCTCAAGGTGGAACGATCCCCGCGGTGTCAGAAACCATCGCCGAAGTCGGCGCGACACGCGCCTGACGTATCGGTATCGGTATCTTCTCTCCCGGCTCCCGCAGATTCGACCTCGTCGGCGGGAGCCGGCCGGAGCCAGGCGCCTCGGCACGATCGCGATGCGATTTCAGGACGACTCGTTGGCGACTCGATGCGTTTCCGATCCGATCCGATCTCGCGATTCGACACAGCCCAGGCGTGCCCGAGCGTTCTGGTCGGAGGTTGGCACGCCTCCTACCCTGACGCGTCGATTCAGCGAATTGGCCGCTTTCGGTTCGCGAGAGGGCGTCGCGGCCGTCATGTTTGCGGGTCCAGGTCCGTCGGTTTCGGTCCTGGGCCGTCTTCACTACAGGGCGGTTCACTACAGGGAGGTTTGTCCACCGCCGATGTTGTGCCGCGTGTCGGGACAGGTTGCGCACAGGCACGGAGCCCTCTCCAGCAGGCGCAGTGAAGCGCATGCTCCCCTGGCCATGCTAGGCCTCGACGGCGCGGCTGCCCATTCTCGCGGCGAGCCGCGCGACCTGCTGGCGCCTTGCTCGAAGCAGCGCTCACGCTCGCCTGGGCCGACGTCAGTGCGATGATCTCCGAGTGACGGGTGCAATGGTGCTGTGCTCGCAGGTGCGTGCGCATTCTGACTACCTACCAGACCACCCCGACCCAACCCGAAGACCCGAGTTTCGGGTTGGGGGGGGTGAGGGTTCCACAGGTGTTTTTTCAGATGTTCCCCCCCCCCCCCCCCCCCCACTGGAAATCGAAGGTACATCTGAGCCTTCGGGTTGGGTTGGGGTGGTTTGGTGGGTGGTGACATTGGCCCGCTGTGCGAGAGCGACCATCTGCTCTGGCCGTCGAGCGTATCCAGGGGTCTCGCCGTGCCAAGCGTCCCGCGCCGCAGACTCCACAGCAAGAGAAAGCTATTCCACCAGGCGACCCGGGGGAGTCTGTTCTGGCTTAGATCAGAGCGTGCTTCAGTACAGCATCGCCAGTTCCTGGCGTGCACCGTGGGATCCCTTGTTCCCTTGCGCTCTGCCCGACTCCTGGTCTGCCTCGTCCTCTTTCAACCTGCTCGCTCCTCCTTGCTCCTCCTCCTCCTCCTCCTCATTCCTCCTCCTCGCTCCTCCTCGCTCCTCCTTTTCCTCCTCCTCCTTCTCCCCATCCCTCCTCCCCTCCTCCTTCCCGTGTGCCCCCCATCCCTTTCCTTCTAAATCACTCCTCCCTGCCACCCTCCGAGGCGTGTCGATAGGGCGGGCCGGGCTTTTCGCCCGAGATTTCCTCACCATTTATGGTTTTTACGCTTAGAGTTTGCGAGAGCTTCACGGATAGAGGGCGGGTGGTTTTCAAAATGTTGCTGTCGCCTTTAGCGCCGCGCACAGTCGTTTCAAACGTTTGCAAGAGTTTCATGGATAGAGGGCGGGCGGTATTCGCAATGTGGTTATCGCATTAGTGCCGCGCACATTCGTCTTAACCGCCTGCAGGAGTTCACGGATGGAGGGCGGTTCCTTTTCAAAGTGTGGCTCGCGCCTTCATGCCGCGCGCACTTGTCTTCATAGTTTACATTTTCGTTTGGGATTCTTATGGCTGACGTCCCGGAAACGGTATTTTGGCACGATGTAGGTCTGTCAGGTCGCGACAGTGATGTTGATTCGCAGTGTTGAAGTCCCAGGAATGGTTGTCTGACACGGTTCAGGATCGTCAGGACGCAACAGTAACGTTGATTCGCGGCGGCGTTGAAGTCCCAGGAGGGGTGATTTGGCACGGTTCAGTCTTTTCACACGTTTGTCTTCTAGAGGGCACTTCCTTCAGTGAAAGCGAATCGTCGCTTGGACCCATGACGAAGGAACTTGGAGGGAGGGGGGGGTGTTGCAGCATCGTTGATGAGTCTTGGATTTGCACTGGTCCGCCTCCTCCTCCGCCTCCTCCTCCGCATCCGCCTCTTTTCCGCTCCGCCTTCCTACTCCCCTGCCCTGCCCTCCCTCGCTCCGGCCGCTCCGCCTGGCCCTCCCAGCAGCATCACCAACACCATGGCCCAGCTGCAGGCGTACCGGCAGCAGCGCACGCGGAAGCTGTGGGTCATCCGCGCGTACGTGCGCGAGGATACCGAGGGTATGTCGGTGAATTTTCTTTGTTGTTAAAAGATCATCATTATTATTATCAGGATTGCTAATATTAATTTTTAACAATCAAAAGTTAAGAAAACAATGATATCAATTTAGGGTATTTGGGTGAGTGAGGGCGGGATCGGACGATTTCGGACGCGACTGAACGGGGATTGGCTGGCGGCGGGATGCAACAGGGATGATATGGAGATGGAGGAGGAGGAGGAGGAGGAGGAGGAGGAGGAGGAGGAGGAGGAGGAGGAGGAGGAGGAGGAGGAGGAGCAGGAGGAAGAGGAGGAGGAGGAGGAGATGGAGCAGGGAAGGACGTGGCAACAGAGGTTTCTGCGCCGCCCCTGGCCCGCAACACCGCAGTCCCCGTCCGCTTGGGACCGCCGACTTGGACCTCCGCTGCTGTGGCTAATCGAACCACGAAGGGTGTTCTGGTGTTCTCGATGTCCTTGATGCGCGCGGCGAGAACAAAAAAGAGCGACACACGGACGTACACGTACATGATTCCACGCTGTTTTCGAACGTACGCATTGCGCGAGAGTTCGTATCACGAGCTTGGTCTCGCGGACAGTGGGGGCGTATTCATTGACACTCAACCCGCATAGTAAGGATGGGCAAGCTTCCCAAGGTACCCTTGCATCCTTGCCTCCTCGGCCATCCTTGGCCACTTTCGTTGGCCGCGCCCCGCTCGAGAAGCTTCGAAACGGCCTTCTGAGGGCCTTGCATCCTTATCGCATCCTTATGGCACGGGCTAACTATATCACGAGGCTGGTCTCGCGGCCCGCACAGTAAGGAGGGGCAAGCTTCCCAAGGATACCCCTTGCATCCTTGCCTCCTCGGTCCATCCTCTTGGCCGCTTTCGTTGGCCGCGCCCCGCTCGAGAAGCTTCGAAGCGGCCCTCCAAGGCCCTTGCATCCTCATCGCGCATCCTTACGATACAGTGGAGGCTCATGCCAAGAAACACCCTGCTTGCCTCCAGGGTGCCCTTGTCTTCTTGGGTTTCGATCGTCGTGCTATGGAAGGCGTGACGTTCCCACACCAGAAATCAATGGACGTCCTGGGGTCTCAGGGCTGGGTTTCTTGTGGACGGTCTCTCGTGGTCGGGCCCCTCCCGTACGGGCCGACCGTGTGCCCCGAATCGGCCCACTGGCAACCGCGCCAGAACCACATCTCCACGCAGCTGTCGGTGCGCGTCAAGAAGTACGTCGAGAAGAGCCTCGGCCGCAAGCTGCGAGAGCAGCACGCCGCCGAGCTCGTGCTCCCCCGCCCCGTCTGCTCCTCTCTCTCTCCCTGCCGCCGCCCGCCTCCCCGGGGGGAGGCAGCGACGAGCAGCGGGGCCCTCGGAGGGCGCCAGCTGCCCAGGTCCCCGACGACCCGCGTTTGCCAATCCGGGCGCCTGTGGCGCTGGAGTTCGGCCCCACCGCCGGTTCCCCGTGGCCATCAGCGGGACGAAGAGACGTTGGCCCGGGCGCACTGGCGAGAGGCAGTGCCCGCAGGGGCCGCCGCAGCGACGAGCAGATCCGCGTGTCGCGTCTCCGGCGAGAGCGGCGGCGTCTCCCGAGGCCTCGGTGTCGGGTGATGTGGCTCATCGCCGTGCGCGGCATACAGTCGGGGCCTTGGAGAAGGAACGCTTTTCGTTGGGGAGAGGCTTGGTGTTCCTTAGTTGTTTTGCAGTTCGCCTTTGGTTTTGCTTAGGGGTTCGATGGGAAATCGAAGTTTGACTTATGGGAAAAAAGGGGCCTCGTTCCTTATGTAGGGTTCCTTAGGTCAACGCCCCGACTGTAGTCCATGGCAGCGAGTCTCAGACGTTCGGGCTCATTCGTTTGCTCCGGTGTCGTCGGAAGAGAGCCGGCCCTGGGGTGAAGGGGTCGGGAGCTCTGGGGTCGCGGATCCGACGAGAGTGGCCCGGCTGGGTTTTCTTCGGTCTGGAAGGCATCCGGCCAGGCTTGTGGTGGTACTCCTGGCGGGCTTTGTCATTCGGAGACGGGTCCCCCGTCCTCCGACGTGGGCCCCTGGCCTGGTGCTTGGGCGCGTGTTGCCCGCACACTCGAGGGGGATCCAGCTGCGGCGAGGAGGAGTCTCCCGAGGGACCCATCAAGGACAACGGCGGTCGAAACCATCCTGGACCTGCAGGAGGAGGAGGAGGAGGAGGAGGAGGAGGAGGAGGAGGAGGAGGAGGAGGAGGCGGAGGAGGAGGAGGAGGAGGAGGAGTGGAGGAGGAGGAGGATGGAGGAGGCGGAGGAGGAGGAGGAGGAGGCTCCGGGTTGCGCCCAGGCAGCCCCCCTCCAGGTGGTCCCGGCTGGCCTCCGCAGCCCCCCCCCGAGTGGTGCGGGGGGCGGCCTCGGCACCCCACGGCTCCCCGAAGGCGCGGCGGCGCCAGGGTGTTGAGACCGCCCCGGGCTGCTCGGGGTGCCTTGGACTGCTCGGGGGCCCCCATTGAGGCCGGCTGGGACGACCGTCGGACCGAGGCATGAAATCGAGGTCGCTTCGGGGAGGGTACCTCCTCCTCCTCCTCCTCCTCCTCCTCCTCCTCCTCCTCCCCCTCCTCCTCCTCCTCCTCCTCCTCCTCCTCCTCCTCCAGTGCTTTCTTCGGGTTTGTGGGATGCTCTCGTGCATCCTGGGGAGGGCACCTATGGTGGAGATGCTCTGTGTGTTTTGGCAGAGGGAGGGCCTCATGTTCTCGAGGGATGTTCCCTTGTGGCCGCCCACAGGGCCGACTGTACCAAAGGGGGGCTGCCTGTGCGCGACCCGAAGGCTCGGCACCCTCGATCCTCGACCTCCGCTCCTCCCTGCCCCCCCCCCATCGACCCTTGATCCTCGACGCTCGACCCTCGACTCTCGATACGTTCGATCCCCGATCCTCGATGCACCTGATCCTCGAGCCTTCGGCGCCATCCCCAGGTTAGTGACGAAAGAATCTGGGGTCGACTGCGCACACGTTCGCGCGCAATCTTCCCGCGCAAGGCTGCGCGCAAGCGTTCTTTGCTTCACGCGGTGTGCCACGCTGACGGCCCGCGTAAGCCACTGGGTAAGGTCGCCAGGTTATCTCGCGCAGGACCCGTTTCTTGTCGTCTCTCAGGTGCAGATGCTGCCGCACGCCCTGCTGATGGACCTCCACTTCGAGGCGCACCGCCCACCAAGCCACCCCAGCCCAACCAGAAGGCCCCGAGTGGCCCTCCGTTCCCACCAGGGGGGGGGGGGGGGCGTCGGGGAACACTGAAAACACACGTCTGGAACCCGTCTCCCCCCCAACCCCGAACTTTGGGTCTGCTAGGGGGCCACATGCGAACCCTCACCCCTGCCCCCCACGATTTCTGAGGGGGAGGGTGGGGCTCACTTCGTTCGGGAGCTCCCGCGCGAAGTGAGCCCCACCCTCCCCCTCAGAAATCGTGGGGGGCAGGGGTGAGGGTTCGCATGTGGCCCCCTATCTGCTGCGGGCTGGGCTGGGGCGGTCTGGTCGGCTGTCGGAGGCCTGGTCCCCGCACGTCTGCTCGCGGCACCGCTTCTTCGGTCCGCCCCCCCCCCCCCGCCTCTGCCGCGGGGCGGGGCTCCGGGGCGGCGCGTCGGCCTCTCGCTCCTCGCTCGCTCGTCGCAGCTGCCGCCGTCGCCGTCGCCGTCGCCGTCGTTCGTGTGTCTGACGTCGTGGTCGTCGTCGTCGCGTCGTGGTCGTGGTCGTGGTCGTCGTCGTCGTCGTCGTCGTCGTCGTCGTCGTCGTCGTCGTCGACGTTCCTCTCTTCCCACGTGTCTCGCGTTGTCGCCTCGCTGCTGGACGACCCGACCCGGAGAACCCCCCCGACCGAAAGCCTTTCATCGTTGTCCCGCTTCCACACCTCCCCTGATCTTCTCTCTCTGCATCCCCCCCCCAGAGGAGGAGGATGAGGAGGAGGAGGAGGATGAGGAGGAGGAGGAGGAGGAGGAGGAGGTTTGTACTTCTCCGCTACGAAAGTTCGGCCAAAATTCAACGCCTCCCGTTAGGCGACGGGACCCCAGTACAACGTTGGCAGTGGGCCCGTTAGGCCGCGGGGCCCCGGTACAGTGTTCGGTTGAAGCATTTTTCGCTCCAGTCTCGGGCGGCACCGCCCTTTCGAACTCGAGCCCGCGGGTTTCGAAATCCAGTCGAGCTCGTTTTGGGGAGGAAGTCCTAGGCGAAAGCCACATTTCGAAATCGAGCCCGAGGGTTTCGAAATCCAGTCGAGCTCGTTTTGGGGAGGAAGTCCTAAGCGAAAGCGGCATTTTCGAGTTTTCGGGTCAGGGCTTTTAAAATTTTAAGTGCGAAGCGGTGTGGCCATTTCGAAACGGCGGTTTCGCTTGATACTTCCTCGAAAAAAAGCAATGCCGAACGATTTCGAAATTTTCGGGTTCGATTTCGAAATGGCGCTCCCGCCTAGGACTTCCGCAAACATAGAATTCGAAACCTTTCTGCTTCGATTTCGAAATGGCGCTCCCGCACAGGACTTCCTCAAACATAGAAATCGAAACCTTTCTGCCTCGATTTCGAAATGGCCCTCCCACACAGGACTTCCTGCAAAATGAGGTTCGGCATTTGTTCCGTTCGAACTCGAGATGGCGCTCCTGCCACGGGGGTGCTAGCGTCAAGGTGATTATCGGCGCTCGGCTGCTCATGGGTTCTGTGGTGCTCTCAGGCTTTGGAGTGATGCTCACGGCCGTCGTGGTGTTCATAACCAATGTGATGCTCAGGCGTTGTTTCGCTGAAAACACAAAACGGGTCACTACTTTCGTAGTGCCGATGTAATGATGAGGGTGTTGGTGAGGATGATGATGAGTGTTAATCAACGGTTTGGTGCTTGTTCGTCCGTTTCAGCTTCTTTTGTTCCTGGCCATAGAGGCCTCCAGGAACCTCCAGGGGCCCCGCAATGCCGCGTCCACGTATGCCCTGCCTCTCGCTCCCCGCCTCCGCTGTACCCCTCTCTTTGTCGTCCACGTGCCCTCCGTTCTGGCGCAGCTCAGGATTTTGAACGGCTGTCTTCCACCGGGGCAGTTCCCTCATTGGTCTGCGGAGACGGAGCTTGGAGGGGGGGTTCATTGCAATGCCGTTGATGGATCTTGGGTTTGCACTGGTCCTCCTGCTCCTCCACCGCCTCCTCGTTTTCCTCCGCCCGCTGCGGGCCGCGTGGGGCACGGCGGCGGGGGGAAGCTCAGGTCAGTTCTGCCGGGAGCACCCACGCACGGTCTGGAGCCTGGGGCGAGAGGCGCTGCAGGAGCCGTTGCGGGGGGTGGGGTGCAGGCCCAGATTTCCGACGAGCCGTTTTTTTCAATCGATTTCGGCGTCTGGGGGCCGTCGTTGGGGTCTCGGGGCCATCGGCATTGCTCCGGGAGGAAAGCTCCCCCTGCCTGAGGAAGGGGTCGGGACCCCTGGGACTGCGCCTTTCGACAAAAAGTCATGGCGTCGGATGTCTGGGGACGGCGGGGGGCGTGAAATTGCTGGCTGCGCAGAGCATGTGGTGTCCAGGTGGCTGAGGCCCCCTCGAGGGCTCCAGGGACCCGAGGAGGGGCGGGGGGGGAGGAGGATCAGTTCGCATGGCGTCAGTGCCAGTGCCAGGAGGAGGAGGAGGAGGAGGAGGAGGAGGAGGAGGAGGAGGAGGAGGAGGAGGAGGAGGAGGAGGAGGAGGAGGAGGAGGAGGGAGGAGGAGGAGGGGAGGAGGAGGAGAGGAGGAGGAGGAGGAGGAGGAGGAGGGGGAGGAGGAGGAGGAGGAGGAGCAGGAGCAGGAGCAGGAGGAGGAGGAGGAGGAGGAGGCGGAGGATGAGGATGAGGATGAGGAGGTGGAGGAGGAGGAGGAGGAGGAGGAGGAGGAGGGGAGGAGGAGGAGCAGGAGGAGCAGGAGAGAGGAGGAGGAGGAGGAGGAGGAGGAGGAGGAGGAGGAGGAGGAGGAGGAGGAGGAGGAGGAGGAGGAGGAGGAGGAGGAGGAGGAGAGGAAGAGAAGGAGGAGGAGGGGAGGAGGAGGAGGAGGAGGGGAGGAGGAGGAGGAGGAGGAGGGGAGGAGGAAGGAGAGGAGGAGGAGGAGGAGGAGAGGAGGAGGAGGAGGAGGAGGAGGAGGAGGAGGAGGAGGAGGCGGAGGAGGAGGAGGAGCAGGAGGAGGAAGAGGAGGGCCCGGGTGGGCCTCCAGGGGGGCCTTCGGGCCAGGGACCTCTCTGGGGCCTTTCCCTGGCAGGTGCGGCGGGCCGCGGGTGGTCGGTGTGGGCGGTCCCAGGGCTGAAGGTCCCTCTGTACGGGCATTCGCCCATGAGCCCGCCCCGCGGGGGCCCACGGAGAGAGTGCGGCGCTGGTGGCTTGTGAAAATGAAATCGTCCTCCTGCTCCTCCTCCTCTTCTTCCTCCTCCTCCTCCTCCTCCTCCTCCTCGTCCTCCTCCTTCTCCTCCTCGTCCTCCCCCTCGTCCTCATCCTTCTCCTCCTCGTCCTCCTCCTCCTCCTCCTCCTCTTCGTCCTCCTCCTTGTCCTCCTCGTCCTCCTCCTCCTCCCCTCCCTCATTCTCCTCCTCTCTTCCCTCCTCCTCGTCCTCCTGTCTTAGTCCCCTCCTCCTCCTGCTCCCTCCTCTCTCGTCCTCCTCCTCGTCCTCCTCC